AGTCTCCAGTCACCAGTCCATCAAGCTCCTGAAGTTTGCGGATGACACCACTCTCATTGGACTGATCTCTGGTGGGGATGAGTCCGCCTACAGGTGGGAGTCTGACCATCTGGTGTCGTGGTGCAGCCAGCTCAGTGCTCTAAAGACAGTGGAGATGGTTGTGGATTTCCGGAGGAACAGAGCCCCACCTTCCCCAATTACCCTGTGCGACTCCCCTGTCACTATTGTGGATTCCTTCTGTCTCCTGGGCTCCAGCATCACCCAGGACCTCAAGTGGGAGCTGAACATCAGCTCCATCACCAAGAAGGCTCAGCAGAGGTTGTTCTTCCTGAGGCAGCTGAAGAAATTCAACCTGCCAAAGACAATGATGGTCCACTTCTACACGGCCATCATCGAGTCCATCCTCTGCTCCTCCATCACCATCTGGTACATGTGGTACGTGTCATCCGCTCTGCAGAGAGGGTGATCGGCTGCAATCTGCCGTCCCTGCAGGACTTGTTCGCTTCCAGGTCTCTGAAGCGAGCTAAAAAGATTGTAGCCGACCCCTCTCACCCCGGACAAAAACTGTTTGTGCCTCTTCCATCTGGCAGGGGGCTGAGACTAAGACCTCCCGCCACACGAACAGTTTCTTCCCGTCAGCAGTCGGGCTCATCAACAGAGCCCGGTCCCCCACTGACTGACTTTGACATTCCACCAGTCACTCTGCTTCATACTGCACATGTCACTTGTGCTGTAATTTTTCACTCGTCACTTTGTCGTCACTCGTCACTTTGTCGTCACTTTGTCACTTGTTCGATAGTGCACTTTATTTTTAATATTTTGTAACGTTTTAAATAGTTTTAATTTTTAACTTTATTATTATTATTCTCTTTTTTTATACTAACCCATAGCCTTATTCTACCCACCCATTGCATTAGCATTTAATTTTATTACTCCAAGGAGGAAGCTTGTGAGGTTAGGACCCTGCAAGAGTTCATTATTCAAGGATGCACCTTGAAATGTTGCTCCACATTCAAACACCACCCAGAGCGATCCCTTCCTCGGATGGTAAACGCCATGATGGGAAATGTACCACACCTTCCCTTTCATACAATGCCATTGTTGCTGAGGTACTTGCTCTGCGTAGGCATTACTGATAAGTTTGTTCATGTACCCTACATACTCCTGGTGAAAACGTGTGTTGTTAAAAAACCTTTTTGTCAAACTCTGAATTCTTTGTTGAGCCACAGCAATGTTATTGGGCAGACGGACCTCTTGATTCCTGAAGGTCAACTTTAGACAATATTTCCCATCCTGAAGTACTGCTGAGCCCTCCATGGTTTCCAGAAACTTGAGGTCTTCTCTGGACATTTCCTTCTCCTCAGTCTTGTCGTTGAACTCATGCTTGTAGTGGTTTGCCAGCATTTTTTCTAATTGGCACACAGAGATTCGGTTCACTGTAGCAGAGGAAACCTCTGTTCTTGAAAAATCACTGGTTTTATTCAGCGGACCATTAACGACCCATCCCAACACTGTTCTGATGGCATGAGGGCCATGCCCACGGCTCGGAATGACCTCCCAAGGTTCCAATATTTTAGGAGCGTCGGTTCCAATCAACAGGTCCACGTTTGCCTCGATCTTTGAGATGTGTACTTTTGATAAATACGGCCAATTAGTGAGCTCTTCCGTTGTCATGATGTTATCAGCGGTGACTGGCATTTTCTTCTGTGCGAGCACATCGGGTAATGTATAAAATTGTTTGCTGTCTATGCCAGATATCTCCAACCCAGCCAACGTATATGCTGGCACACCAGCTTGCTGTCCCATAGTCTGCAACAAGATGTTGGTTATTTTGCCTGTAATATGCAGATTCTGCATTAGGTGTTCTGAGCAGAATGCGGCACAACTACCGGGATCCAGGAAGGCGTATGTTTGGATAATGTGATTTCCTTTTGCAGCTTTCACCTTGACAGGGATGATTGATAGAACATAGCGGTCCTTACCGGCCCCTGTATGTCCACATGTTTCCAGTGGATGGTCATTATATGGTTCCTTAAACTGTTCCAGAGCGGATAACTGCCTCTTAATATGAAGCACAGCGGGGTGACCTTTACCACAAACTTTGCAAGACAAGCGCCTTTCGCAGTCCCTACTCATATGAACAACACATAAACATGCAAAGCACACTCGTTGTTCCCTCAGGATGCTAAGTTTTTCCTTGTGGTTCCTTTCTTTGAATACTTTACACTCTTCCAATGAGTGATTATGAGCACAGCAAAGGCATAGAGTTTCCTCAGCCTTTCTACTTTCTGGTACGGATTCTGTAACTCTCTCAGGAAAGTCTTTGGAAGTGATTGTTGTGGCAACAATATTTCCCCAGCCTCTGTTACTAGGCTGGGAATTAAACCTGCTGAAAGGCCTTGTCCCAGTAACACCGGTTGCTGGGTCCTGTATGTCACCAAAAAGAGGGTCAGAGAGAATTCTGACACGACGCTCAAAAAATATGACTAGATCCACAAAGTGGGCTCTCTGATTGCTGGTTTCCATGATACTGTGAGCTGTGGCCCTCCATTTCTCTCTCATTTTGAATGGTAATTTTGACATAATGGCTCTCATGTTCACAGGCATATCCAATTGCTGCATGTACTGGAGCTCCTCCATGACATTGCAGCAGCCAGGCGAGAATAAGGCATAGGCCTGAAGCACTTTAACATCCTCCCGATTTTATCATTTGCCATGCTAAAGCCTTTTCCATGTATCCAGCTGCAATCTTATACTGGTTTCCAAAGTGTTCCTGTAGGAGTCCCTTAGCAACTGCATAGCCACGCTCCGGATCCATATGCTGGCAACTTCGCACCAACTCTTTGGGCTGTCCGGCTGTAAACTGTTGCAAATAGTAAAGACAATCTGCTCTTCCTGTCTTTTCCTCAACTCTTTGTTCAAAGCCTTGATAGACGCTCTGTACTGAAGAGGGTCTCCTTCAAATACAGGAATTACTCATGGAGGCAGAGATGATGAGCGCTGTTGATGCACAAGTGTAGCAGTTATTTCATTTTGCCTGTGCATGATGGCAAGTATGTCTCCATATGCGTTTAGATTGTTGGTTGTAGAATGCCATTCTTCCTCCTTTAACTGAAGAGTCCCTGATTGGTACTGCCCATGATGCATTCCCAATATATGGTTCTCCTGCTGTTGGTCGTTGGGGCTGCACTGATGTGGCGAAGCAGGTTTCGACCGTTGCTCCGTTTCCTTTGGTCGGACATCCATGGACTGTGGTTTATCGGGAGGTACCAGCCATTTCGTCAAGTGGTGTCGTTTCTTATCCTCTTTTTTGGGCTGGTAATCCTCTGCCATATTGTTTAAGCAGTCGTATGATTTCCCTTTCCTTCTTTCAAAATAGGAAGCCATGCCATCTGTGGGTCCGTGTGAAACACTTCTTTGGTCTGAGGCCTGTAATACTGCCAACATAGCGGTTGAAGAGGCTAATTCAGTATCCAGATCGAGCTGCTCTCTTTCCCTCCTCAGTTGTTGCTCCTGCTCCTCCAAAGCATGCCTTTCCTTTAAGAATGATGCACGTACAAGTGCAGCTCTTTTCGCCTCCACCCTTAACTGTACAGAGGAGGTAATACTTGATTTACCACTTTTAGTGCTCCTTTGACTTGAGTGCTGACTACAAACCTTAGAAACACTGTCATTTGGATTAATAACATCTTCCACATTACCATTTTCATACACATTTTCATTTGACGAAAGCCACAGTTTTGCATTAGCGATACAATCATCATTAGGTATCATTTTTGCGTTAAACCATATGTCATGTTTTTCCTTTTCATCAAATGGTAATAGATTCAACAAAGATTCATGCATGCATTTTGCTTGATCACACAGCTCAGTCAATTCTCCAATTACACATTGAACCTGTGTTTTATCATCACTACACATTGCATTTTGTATTAATTTTCTAGTTGCATTTGCCTCACTTAACTTAGTTTTTCTACCGTTTTGCAACGTGTCCAATTTAGCAGCAAGCGCCTTTGCCGTTGGCTTAACTACCCGTTTCTGCGTTTCACCACCACCACAATAGTCCACGCGCCGCTACAAACAGTCTTATGCAAAGTCAATTATTTGTCCGCCAGCCTCAGCGACCAATGCGTTGAGTTTATTCCCCAGGTTGTGTGCACGGATTTTAAATGGCCATAAATAGCGTAGCGCTACCCATACCTCGTCGCATCGGGCGCTCGTCTGGGTCCGATGATTCACTGCGGTAGTATCAGTGACGTAGCTGCATCCTCCAAACTTGGCAATAAATCCGAACAGCTCACGGCAGCTCTCCTTGTCCGAGACTCTTCCTCCGTTACGTTCCAAACGTGCCAAAGTTTCTCCCACGAAGTTCCAACTGGAGCAGCCGGGTTTTGACTAGTATTAAAGGAGCCCGGTGCTTTTACCTGGGCTACTGTGGTGCTGGATTGCCCCCGGATAGGTCTGTCTGACGCGCAGTTGTTCCAGCCTTGGTCACCCCTGCGCTCCCCTCTTGCAGGAATAATCAACCGTTCTTTTTGTGGTTGAGCTTGTGTTTTATTTTGCCTTATAATGTTTGTTCCCAGCAGAACCCACTCTCTCATATTACGACAGCGGTCAAAACCGTTTCGCTCTCCAAGTCCAACACCTGATACCAATTGTTACCTAATCAATTATATAGGCGCACACAGGACCCAAGAACAGCGCCACCCAGTGTACAGAATAAAATAGACATTTGGTTCCTACATCCACCTTATAAACCACATTTACTGACACAATGAGGGCATTGGTGTCGGCTATGTTTTGTTCCCTTAAAAGACCAAAAGGCTCTGACTTGTGGCTACCTGTGTTAAAATCTAGCTGCAGGGCCTTTATGTATGTTTTATATCCCCCTATATTGCACATTCCCTCAACACACGTGTCCCCCTGTGTGTTCAACGTCATGTGGACACCACCATAAAGTTTAATTCGGGGCGCCCTGTGTGCTTGTGTGTCTTCTCCAGCAGCAGAAGCATGCTCTTGGCCCAGATAAACCGGGACTCCCAGGGAATGGCAGAGTTTCACGATGCAGCCGGGCAGCCGCTCACCCTCCGCCTGACAGAGGCTGTGAGCGTGTCAGGTGAGCTCCCGAACTTCACTCGCTCGCTGTCGCAGCACGAGACTAGAATACAGCTGTAAGGACGTTAATGGTCATGGAAGTAGTAAAAGTGTTTAAAGCAAAATAGGTGATCTAATGTGTCAAGATGTCAATAACATTTATTTGCAATCTCTTTGTGCATTTGTAATAAGCCACGAGTGGATCAAGTCTGTCAACATGAGCGTCCAGGGTCCATTTTAAGAGAGACCAAAACGACATGGCCTCGCAACTTTCACTTTTCCTCCTCGACCTTTTATCTTCTCGCTCTCAAGTATTGTCCTTTTCACATGATTTCCCCAGATGGCGATCAGATGGAGAGCATGGACACCGTGAGCCTGCAGGCCGTCACTCTAGCGGACGGATCCACTGCATACATCCAGCAAAACTCCAAATCAGCCTTTTCGGATGGACAGGTCATGGACGGCCAGGTCATCCAGCTGGAGGACGGCTCGGCGGCCTACATTCAGCATGTGTCGATGCCCAAAGGAGGTAAAATACACATCTAAAAATAGTTGTTATTTTGTATTTTAACCGGATGGCGTATCACCATCTTACTACTGTGGGAACATTATTCACAGTTGACTGCTTTCTTCAGTTTTAGGAGGGGACAGTTTACAGCTTGAAGATGGACAAGCAGTTCAGCTGGAAGACGGAACAACTGCCTACATCCACACACCCAAAGGTAAAAGGATATTTTTTGTCTCATTTTACACATTTTGCTCAAAGGTGAGAAGCACAATCAAAATAATGTTGTTAAGCTTCAGCAGGAAGTGCATTTCACCCTAACTCGCATTCATGTAGGAAACTATCTCTTTTCCTCACCTGAACGTCCCCCTCTCAGTGTGTCAGTGTGTTTCAGGGTTCGTACGGTCATGGAAAACCTGGAAAAGTCATGGAATTTCAAAATGGTCATTTGCAGGCCTGGAAAAGTCATAGAATTTCAAAATGGTCATTTCCAGACCTGGAAAAGTCATGGAAAGAAATAAAATCCTCAAAGTTTTGGAAAAGTCATGGAAATGTGTTATATTTCTATGGTCATGTGGTTCATTTAAGATTACGTTTGAAATCATTCATATGGTTTTAAAGAGACGCAGGACGCTCTGATACTCGCAGCGTTAATAATTTGCACCGCGGCGGTGTAAACGCGCCTTAACTGAAAAGTTTGGTAGCTCAGGAATCATCCAGTGTCAGGGAAGTGTAGATTTAACCGTGGTTGGCTACATATGGAAAAGTGCATCTCATAAGTTACGACAAACAAAGACCCGGGACGAGCAGAATGTAAGTAATGTGGAGGCGGAACATTATGTATTTTAAACACAGGAGAGCGGCATTAACGAGCCGTGCTAAAGGAAGCAGACATCACTGCGCCGCTGCTAGCGAAGCTACTACAGAAACCCCATCAGAGGACGACTGCTAGCGAAGCTACTACAGAAACCCCATCAGAGGGCGACTGCTAGCGAAGTCACCATGCCGAGCAGCACGTCTCTCTCTTCGGCCACCGGCGCTGTACGTGCGCTGCCCGTCTGCTAGCAGCAGTTCCAAGTTGTAAACAGAGGGCGTGGTGGCGTTGCTTCGGTGTTCTTTGTCATTGAGCCGTATTAAGCTGCAGACACGTGACTTCATTTTCCTCCTCGAATGACAGGAGATCATTTGATTCTTTTCGTTTTGTGTTTATTTTATGCTGCAATGCGTCAACATAATATACAATTACTACATTCTGTCACACGGCAGATAAACAAGATGCTCTTGTGCCTAATGCAGCTCTTCTGTGTTGCACCTACTGCAATCACAACGTCAATACATGGAGACCCACAAGGAGCGTCAATCCAACATAAATGCGTTCAATACAAGTTACATATCTTTAGTTCCTGCACAATGACTATAAATTAAATGATTAATATTCCCAAAATTCCAATGAAGTAATAGATACACTTCCGGCTCTTACAGAGACTGTTATCTACTGTAAACTGTTAACAGTTCATGTATTGTCCATAATTTGAAGTAAAATAATGGAAAAGTATTGTTTTAGGCACTGTTTAGGTATCGTTTTAGCACTGGTATCAGGAAAACCCCAAACGATACTCATCCATAGTGGATAATTGTATAATTATAACATCTTGAGACCAAATTGAATGGTGGGGGAAACACTGTATGCTTTGGTATTCTCATTGTTAGTTTAAATACTACATTTTCTCACTTTTTCATGTATACACTGAGATTTCACACTTATTTGGCCATGGAAATTGTGTTTGAAGTCATGGAAAAGTCATGGAAATCCACTGGTCAAAATGTGTATGAACCCTGGTGTTTACATGATGGTATAATTGGAATCTTTGCATAGTCGGACTATGCTATCTTTCGGGGGGAGGTGCTATTATCTCAATATACATGGCAGTGAATAAATTGAATCATTGGCCGAAAGCATGTCATATCCGATACGATAGGTGGCGCTGTTTTCATTACAACTAGTTGTGATACAGCCATTTCCGCTTGACCGCTTCACCACTACCAACAACAACCAACAACAACAACATCAACATTACAAGAAAGATGGCGAACACAGAGCAAGATGAAGCTACATCCCTCTACTATTTTTGCATGATGTTAATAGGAGCACAGCGAATGCGAATGGCGCTATCGGCTGATTTGATAACGGAGAGAAGACGCCGTCGGGATCTCAAGCATGCGCAAAGACGCAAAGTCCAGTTCCTTATCCGATTCACCATTAGTTGACGCAATAGTCGAACTATCAACTGGATCGGATCGAGTTATCCAGGGGTGTTAGTCGGATCGTAGTCGGACTGCCCATAGTCGGACAAAGGTGTTTACATAAAACGGATAATTCGATTTCAGTCCGACTAAGCCAGTTATTCGAATCCATGTAACCATGCTGACTGACGCCTAACACCATTAGATTCAAGATGGCGCCATGCTGCTCGGCTGGCCGTCTGTCGCTCTGCTCTGTGTTTGCTATGTGTTTAGTGATTTACCTGTTCTGTCATGAGGTATCATCCCTCCTCACTTATGATCGTCAGACTCTGCTTCAGATAGGAGGCTTCTACGATCAGCTCAAGTATGATCCATTGGTGTACTTTTCTCCATGCCCCGAAGAAATCCCGGCGTTTCTGAGGCGTCCTCCACTCCATTTTGCCCGTGAGAGACGGCGGAGAAGACGCGGTAAACGCAGAGGCCTCTGGGTCAGGCTGGTGGCCTATCTTAGGTCTGCTTGTGTGTTGGATTATGGCACTAATCGACACTTTCTGGATGTTTCCCCTGCGCTGCGACTGCGACTGAGGAGGATTAGAACTCGATGGATCCGGCTGGTGCTCACGTGCGTTGGCGGCTCTGACAGCGTCAGCTGTTCGGCGGACTCCGACCAGCTGTTGCTGCTCACACCACCTGGCGTTTTCGGACCGGGAGTCGCGGCGTGGACCCTCGGAACCTCCGCACAATGAAACATGCTTCACCTTCGGACACTTTTTTCCTCAAGTTGGCTTTGTTGAATGTGAGATCTGTCACCAACAAGACTTTTTTACTGAATGACTTTTTTACCTCACGCAAATTGGATTTTATCTTCTTAACTGAAAGCTGGCTCCGCGAAGGTGATCTTCCTCCTTTTTCAGAGCTCCTCCCTCCAGGATGTAGTTTCCTTAGCTCCCCTCGCACCACCGGCAAAGGAGGAGGACTGGCATCCGTATTTAAATCTACCTTTCACGTCCAGCAGCGTCCAGCTTTCAATGGCTCCAGCTTTGAGCTCCAACTTTTTGAGGTTAAAATCCCCGTGGCTGTTCTCTGTGCTGTGATCTATCGCCCACCGAAACAGGACTTTGCAAACTTTGTGTTGGGTATTATTCTCGAGTATGATCACTTTCTAATTGTCGGCAATTTTAACGTGCATGTCTGCTGTGAGACCAGACCGCTTGTCAAAGACTTTTTTAATCTAATTGACTCTCCTAATCTCACGCAGTCTGTTTCGGAACCGAAAAAGGCCATATTTTGGATCTTGTACTGTCATATGGACTGGATGTACAAATAACTAAAATATGCCACATTCCTCTTTCCGACCATCTACCTGTTTTATTTTCCATCTCACTACCTGCGCCCCCCAGCACAGACACTGCACCCGCTCGCTGTCGCCGTACTTTTAACTCCTCAACTCCTCTGCAGTTTTCTGCTGCCTGGAAAAACTCCTATTCTCTGGAAGACTTTGGCGACTTCAATGTGGATGTTTGTATGAAGTTGTTTGATTCTCTCTGCACTAAGATCCTGACTCCATTGCGCCTATGAGGTTAATGCGCGTTAAGCCACAGACTGAGCGTTGGCTGAATGAGTCCACTCGTGCACTCAGACGCGCATGCAGACAGGCGGAGAGGAAGTGGAAAAAAGACAATCTCCAGATTTCTCGGGAAAGCTGCTAAAGCTGAATATTTTTCCTCACTCGTTTCCAAATACGCTTACAAACCTCAGGTTCTTTTTAACATATTTTACTCACTAGTGAACTCTAGTGATGCTGTCTCTGTTGAACCGCCTGCTTCTCTGTTTGTGGACTTTTTGCAATTCTTTGTCACTAAAATTTCTGCCCTTAGATCCTCACCCCCCCAGCATTTGCAGGACCCCCAAATCCTACAGCAAGCTCAGCTGTTTTTCACCAGTTTGAGCCTGTCTCACTTTCTGCACTTACTGAAATAGTTAATCACCTACGCCCTGCTAACTGCCCATCGGACAGCATTCCATCCCACTTGCTTAAGCAGGTCTTCAGCTCAGTTGGGCCTTTTATTTTGTTTCCTCTAAATCTGTGTCTCAGCTCTGGACGTGTCCCAGCCTCCTTCAAACATGCCACAGTGCAGACTCTTTTAAAAAGGAAAAATGTAGATCCTTTGGTTCTTTCTAATTTCAGGCCAATCTCCTCTCGTTTATCTCCAAAGTCAGAAAGCTGTTTTTAACCAATTGCAAGAATTCCTGGGTCGTGCAAACATTGGTGAACAGTTTCAGTCTGGTTTTAAGCCTCTTCACAGCACCGAAACAGTTCTTTTAAAAGTTTTTAATGATCTTCTTTTAAACCTTGATTCTGGCAAACTATGCCTTTTTAATGCTATTAGATCTCACAGCAGCATTCGACACAGTGGATCACACTATCCTCTTGTCCCGCCTCGAGCACTGTGTGGGCATTAGAGGTTCTGCTCTAGAGTGGTCTAAATCCTACCTTCCAGATAGATCCTTCTGTGTACAATTCGGGAAGATTTCCTCCTCAGTGGGTCCTCTGACCTGCGGAGTCCCCCAGGGGTCAGTTCTAGGCCCTCTACTGTTCTCTTTATATATGCTACCCCTGGGATCGATATTTACGAAGCATGGAATCCCTTTCCATTGCTTTGCTGATGATGTGCAGGTGTACTTGCCACTAAAGGCCCCCTCCAAGGAATCCCTTCATGCTGTGTTTAATTGTATGACGGACATTAAAACATGGATGGACCTAAACTTCTTAAAACTAAATGAAAACATTACAGAGATTGTGCTATTTGGTCGCCCTGACTTTGTCCAGGTCCTTGCCAGCTCCCTTGGCCCACTAGCACCTTACATAGCTTCCCAGGTCAGAAAACTTGGTGTAATTATTGATGGGGCGTTTAAATTGGACAAGCAGGTCAGCTCTGTGGTTAAGGCTAGCTTCTTCCTGCTTCGGCTTCTAGCCAAAGTCCAACCCAATCTAAACAGGGCTGACCTCGAAAAAGTCATGCATGCTTTTATATCTTCGCGCTTGGACTATTGCAACTCCCTGCCTGTCGGTATTAGGCAGTCTGAACTCCACCATCTACAGCTTGTGCAGAATGCAGCAGCCCGTCTCCTGACCCGGACAAAGCATGGGCACATAACGCCAGTGCTTACCTCTCTCCACTGGCTTCCGGTTAGGTTCAGAATTGATTTTAAGAATCTTTTATTTGTTTTTAAGTCTCTGCATAGACTGGTCCCAGAATATTTATTCAGCCTTATTAATGTGCATCAACCCTCCAGAGCCCTAAGATCAGCTGACCAGCTGGTTCTGAACGTGAAAGCACTTTGGCTGGCCACTGGCCTTTAAAAGTGCTGTATAAATAAAATTGACATTGACATTGACTGTCTCCATGCAGATGCATATGACCAAAGCGGCCTGCAGGAGGTGCAGCTGGAGGACGGCAGCACCGCCTACATCCAGCACACGGTGCACATGCCCCAGTCCAGCACCATCCTGGCCATTCAGGCTGACAGCACCATCGCGGACCTGCAGGCCGAGGCTATGGCCATCGACCCCGAGACCATCAGCGTGCTAGAACAGTACACCACCAAGGTAACCCGATTGGACCAGTGTGGGGCCAGTTGGGGCAACAACACATCGGGATTTCCCTTTTGTTTTAGAATCTTATATTGATGCTCTACTGCACTATAATATTATTATATTATATTATTTCACTATCAGTGTTACTTTAATTCCATCCACACCTTTTTAGTGTCCGTAATTGATATTCTACCTAATCCTTTCCCTACACTAGCATTTTAACATCATATTTCTCTTTGTTTATTTATTAAGTTAAAGTTTGAATCTTTGTTGAGATACCGAGCACATCCCCTGTAAACAATTGGTGCTTCAATGGGAAAATTCTGACGATTCAATGAGTCTGCTTAAACGTGTAATAAAAAAAGCGAAGGATTGATCCAGTCGATTCCATTTTAAATAATCCTAGAAACAGTTTATTTTAGTTATAAACAATGAGGAGAAACACCAGATTATTTACCTAAATAAAGATTAAACTTGACAATTCAAATCGGTCTTTTTTCATCCTATAACTGTAAATATATAAAACAATTTGAATAGAGTCAAGTAAACATGTTCTTTGGTTAAATTGATTTTTTTAAATTGGAGAAGTGGGGGAAAAGGATGCTGTAGATTCATCGCCATGGTTTATCTTGTGCAACATTTTTGCATCGTTGCCGTCAGGTGGAGAACATTGAAAACCCTTTGGGTTCCTTCAGCAGATTGGAAGCAGACAATGGCGTCCACATGCGGGTATCTTTTCTAGAATAACTCATTCATTACTTTTTCTTCTCTTTTTAAAAAAATACTTCACTGGGAGTTTAATTCACATGTGTGTTTCAGATCGTGTTACAGGGTCAAGACAACAGGTTGGGGAGGAGCTCAAACGTAGGAGAGAAGTCTTTCCGCTGTGACTACGAGAGCTGTGGAAAGCTCTACACCACCGCCCACCATCTCAAGGTGAGTGTGGGATTGTTTACGTTTTCCTGGCAGCATCTTCCTGTTGATGTTTTTACTTAACACCCCCAGCCTGCTTTGTCTCGTCCCTACAGGTACACGAGCGCTCGCACACTGGAGACAAGCCGTACGTCTGTGACTATTCAAGCTGTGGGAAGAAATTTGCAACAGGTAGCCGTCGAGACTATTTCTCTCTTAGTTATTTCAAAGTCAACCAATATCTTTATCAATTACTTCCAATAAAAAGAAGTAGATGTTTTCGTACCCAGAAGAACTTAAGGCGATTTTCTAACATGGAAAATAATAACAGGAAAAAATAATTAAGTTTAAGAGTTTCCATATTGTTATAATCTTTGTACAATGTGTCAAATTCAGAAATAGTTGACATGGAACATATCAATAAGTTATTAAAAAGAGTAAAATCGTTTACATCTCACCACATTCATGAGTCTTTAAAAAGAGTTTACATTTGATAATGTAAGTCATCTTTCACAGGTGAATTATATCTGTGGATAATTAACCAACTTTGTTTTACTGACCTTCTTCAGAGGGAATGAAATAACTGCTTTTACCAGCAGTACAACCTTTAAGCTGTTTGTTATAAATATATATTTGTAAACAATTTACATGTTGGAACATGTCATATTTAGTTTATTTGTTGCCATATTGCATTATTTGGAGTAGACAAAGATTCAGCCTTCATCAGATGGAATACTCAGGGATTCTTTATTGGTTGTTGTAATGCTTTTATTGGACGCCTCAACAAAAATCCTGTTATTACTGTTGTGACGTCAGCAACTAACCTTTTGAGATCAAAATCAATCTGCGCTGAGGTATAGCGATTAAACCAGCAATGAGGGAATAAATCAAACGTCAGTGACTCGTTTTTTATGGTGTGTGAATGTTTTTTCTTTTCTTTTCAGGGTACGGACTAAAGAGTCACTCACGCACACACACTGGGGAGAAGCCATATAGATGTCAAGAACTGAATTGCTGTAAGTCCTTCAAAACATCTGGGGACCTTCAAAAGCACACAAGGACTCATACAGGTGAAACACCATGGAACAATATGATGCTGTGGCATAGGGCTGTCAACGGAAATTATATATTCGAATAGTTGTTAAATGTTAACAAATGTTGTTAAATCGGTTTAAACTTAAATAAATTACCTATACAAGTAGTCCTGTTATTGACGTGCATTCGCTGGGCCCGAATATTCGAACGTCATCTTTGAGCAATTTTAACAGCCCTATTGTGGCACGACATTCCTGGAAACTTGTGTCTCTATGTAATCGTATAGGTCTGGCACAGATTTAAATTTTGTGAAACGATTGCTGCGTTTGATAGTCGATCACATCGACTATCAAACGCTATCACATCGCAAGATTTTGTTTTTTTAAGTTTCATTGGGACAGGAAGACGGATAGAATACCAGCATGTGGAATGACAAACTTTTTTATTTTCGTCTGCAATTCAAACATTTATAAAATTGTCTTCAGGAGAGAAGCCTTTCAAATGTCCGATGGACGGCTGCGGCAGATCCTTCACCACCTCCAACATCCGCAAAGTCCACATCCGAACGCACACTGGTGAGCGGCCCTACTACTGCGCCGAGCCCAGCTGTGGCCGCTCGTTTGCCAGTGCCACCAACTACAAGAACCACATGAGAATACACACGGGTGAGTCCTTTGAATGACACAGTCCGTCCCCACAGACTCGTCACAAGTCCTGAAGTCCTGGTTTGGTGTCCCTCTGGAGCGTAACACCTAGTTTTTAATATTAAAACCTACTTTTCTTCTTTTCCAGGAGAGAAACCTTATGTCTGCACCGTGCCTGGCTGTGAAAAGCGCTTCACGGAATACTCAAGCCTCTACAAACACCATGTGGTTCACACGCCATGCAAACCCTACAATTGCAACTACTGTGGGAAGACATACAAGCAGATCTCCACACTTGCCATGCACAAACGCACAGCGCACAACGACACGGAGCCCATCGAGGAGGAGCAGGAGGCCTACTTTGAACCCCCAATAGGTCTGTGTATGTTTGTAGGCATATATGTAGAGATGCAGAGATGCAACGATGGTGCAAAAATGATATCTGCCACCTTTTCAACTTTTTCAAATATTCACAAAATAAAAAGGAACCACTGAACGATGTGGATTAAATATCTCAAACAAGGATAAAACAACCAAATGTTTACCCTCCCTTCAGACACCATCGATGACCCCAACGCTAGCTACACAACGTCGGTTGTTGAGGCGGACGACTCCGGCTCAGAGCAGGTTCCTGTGGAGGGCTCGGACATGATTTGTCAGCAGCATGTTGCCCTGGTAATGCAGGAGGACAGGACACAACAGCAGGTAATACCATTATTAAGTATTACTTATGTTCCCAACAATGTTCGAACCGAGAGATTATTGCGCTTAAACACAAGGTAATAGCTCATTTAATTTGGTCCAACTCAATTCTATCCCCGTTTCCCCCGATCATTTTTAAACTTAATACAAACATAATATGTGAGAAAGAAGAAATATATCAGAAGACCACTCATATTTGTTTTCTTGAATGTAATAGGGAGTTAACGCTACATTAGCTAACGTTACTTTGCAGCTATTTCATCAAATAAAATGACCATGGTTGTTTCAAAAGCTTACTTCAAGACCTCACCAATGTTCTTCTTTGTTATTATTGTTGGACTGAGGGACCTTCCGTGGCAGCAATCAAACCCTGATGTGTTTAATTGTATTAAAAGTATTACAAGTAATAACGATACAATGACAATTAAACAAAATGCTTTACAAGCTAAAATAACAACTTGTAATAAGATCATCAATATACATATATATATATATATATATATATATATATATATCCTCCGAATGCACTAATGTTTGTCCCCAAATGTCACATTATCAAAAGGGAGTATTTTCCAATCCAAATATTGTGATATAGGGTATATTTGTTTAACCATTCTTGACTCTAGAAGGACATTTTCTTTCCTTATTCTAGGCTGAAAGCCTTCTGTCCCATTTCCTAACACAACTCTTGTGACCTCGTGGTTAATTTTTTCGTTTTCAACGTTCTCTCTGTGTTTTGGGGTCTCGCGTCAGGTCAGTATCTCCGAAGCGGACTTACAAGCTGTGGGTGGAACAATCACCATGCTAACCCAAGAAGGCACAACCATAACCATCCCGGCCCACGAACTGACGATGCACGGCGGTCACTCGGTCACCATGGTAACAACACTCGGCCCAGATGAACAAGTAACCAGCTGACCAGCCGCCGTGTTCATCGTGCAAATACATTGTTAGAATGTTTGGCTTTGGAGAATTTTGCGTACCCGACTCATTATCTGTGGACCAAATCAGGGGAAACGAACCGTAAACAAAAGATAATATGGTTTGTGTTTTCAGCTGTCTATAAACGATTAAATGACGGTTGTACAGATGGATAGTTACTTTATTAATCCTGCAAGATTGTTTATAGTGCTTATTTATGCAGGAAAAGAAATTAGTGTTATATATACAACGCAAAATATATATACCAAAGTGATTGATTTGTCCAAAGGTGATTTATTAAAGAGAGAGTAACTGATGCCCTTCTATAAATATATTTTATATTTATTACTGACGTGTCAATGATTGGGTGTATGCCCGTGTCTCTCGTCTGCCTCAGGTGGCCATCATGACGCCAGACATGGCTGCGTTTCAAACCGTGGAGGAGGCCGGCTACAGCCAAGAGCAGGATGACATTCATCCCGTCACATTACTTGCCACCTCCAACGGCACTCACATTGCTGTGCAGGTTGGTAGAACGACACCGTAGGAATGAATACGCCGTTGGGTTGAGTTTCACATCTGTGGATTTGTTTAGTTATTCAGGAGGAGAAGAAGAAGAAGAAGAAGAAGAAGAAGGAAGACGACCGGAAACGTCTGCCATGTAGTTTAAATGTAGACGATCTGTGAAATGGAACATTTGGGAACAAAAATTTGGCAGTAGAGGCCCATTGAATTCAGAGGTATTAGTTATAGCCTTGGTATGGTTCCCACAGAGTCTGCTGCATTTTTGATTGATTGATTTTACTGACAACTACACTCCGTGTGCTGTCAGTCATATGATACCAACAGGAGTTTCGGTCATAACGGTATTTAAATGAATGCCTACCCGGATCCAACCACAGGGAGCTATTTGCTTTAACACTCAACTAAAAGTCATTGGTAGGTGGAGTTTAACTCAGGGGTTTTACATCACAAAATTATCAAAATCAAAATTATCATAATCTTTAATCCATACAAAAATAGATTGCGCTTTAATTACATATTATTAATCAATTCAAAGGACTTAATTAACTTATCATGCCTGAAACCACAGATTGTTATCTCATCAAAGGTTACCGGTCTCATGGCGTTACCCTTACAGGAAAACCCTGTTGTCATTCGCCCCCACAGTGCCTTTCTATCATTGTAATTATACAGCAAACCTCTTATTACCAACATGCAACAGCATTTTAACGCAGCGGTCAGTCAAGCCGGGGTGTTAGTCTTTTGAAGGGGAAAATGAATGATTAATGACAGCTATCAGTGTGTCGATAGACGTGTGTGTCATGTGTGTCCCATTGTTTTCCTTCTCTGTAGCTCAGCGATCAGCCTTCGCTGGAGGAAGCCATCAGAATAGCATCAAGAATACAGCAAGGAGAGTCGCTGGGCCCTTAATGATTGATGCCCTCATTATGGACCGTGAATTAGAATTTTAAAGAAAAACACATCTCACTTGGACTATATCTACAAGATAAATCACACGTCTTCCGTCATGTGTTTTTTTCTTTTTTTCCACTAAAGAACTTATCTTTTATGCGTACATAGGATTTTGATAACTGGACTTCTGCTCTGCTTCTTTGTTCCCCATGGGAGATGGGAAAATGCTCTCTTATTTTTATGGTGCACAGTGCTCAGTTCAATGTACAGCTAATGCTATTTATAATAAAGGTAAAAAGAAGTGGTTGTAATTGATTTCGAACACTTGAAGTGTTGCTTATATATATATGCATTGTATAAAAATTGAATTGTTTAAAAAAGCAATAAGGTACGAGAGGCTGTACTTTATTATGTAATAATAAATAACAGTTTGAGGGTTGGTGGCCCTTCGCTCTGCGTCGGGCCCAACAACACCCCTGAACTGTTACATTATTGGACGATAAAAGTACTGCCTCAAGTACCTTATTGCTTTTATAATACAGTTACATTATAAATCAGGATGAGGAAACATTTATTCCCATAATATGTCAGACACACAAGGAATTTGACTTGGCGGTTGGTGCGTAACAGCAGACAGTACGACAATGGACGACAAGACAACAGTGCACGGGGAATAAAATAAAATATAATGCTATGGTTAGTAGTATAAGGCTATGGGTTAGTTTAAAAATAAAGGAATAAAAGTTAAAGATAAAAATATTTAGAAATTAAAAATAAAGTGCACCAGCAAACAGAAAGTGACAAGTGAAAGTGACCAGTGACTATAGCCCATGACGTTCACCTTAATTGCTCACAATGCCCGAAACCGATCAAACGGATCATTTGTGGGATTTCTGGTCTTTTTCCGGCGATTGCCACCGAGCTAAAAACTAAAATGTCAACTAACTGTCGCGCAAAATCTAACCTGTTACTTTGAGTGCGCAGTGATACGGAACGCTCGGGTCAATATGAACAGGTGACGTACATTCACGCCATGACTCACTCTCAACCAATCAGAATGCTGGATATAATCTACTCGTATTATGAAATCATTATATACACAGTATAATTTACAGTACCAGTCAAAAGTTTTGGACACTCTTTCTCATTGAATTGTGAGAATGGGCATTGAATTGTTCTCCCACACTACTCCACTCCTCTTTGTACAAGCATTATATTTTAAGTGATGGGAATGAACTAAGTATATCTACTGTAATGTTTAGAAAATGTTACACTTTTTCATCTTTTATTTTATACTTGGTTTAACAGTTGTTTGACCGATTTAGTTTGTCTGCAGACTTGAGATTTGAACTTAGCATCATCATCATCGTCATATAAAAAAGTCAATCTCAACTAAATATAAAGTACTATGTTTACATTGTGGTATCATTTCATATTGAAGTACTTAATGGGCAGGCTGGTCACTTTTGTTTTTTTATTATATTGCAATATTAATACTGAAGCTGTAAAACTCTTGGTGGTTAACCACATTATTACTGATGGGATCATATACTCTGAAATGTAGTGGAAAGTGTACAGTGGGATGAAATGCATTGTGGTAGAACTGCGCCCCATCCCAACTCTGGAACGCCCTTCTTTCAAAAAATCAAGACGCGTTTCGATTGGCTGCTTTGGGACCGCGTGACCAACGGTCGCGGGAAGTCCTTTGCTACGCGCGTGATAGGAAGAACTCTTACCCACTCGTTCGAACTTGTTTATTATTTAACATTGGTTTGTTTCTCTCCTGTGGAAAGACGTGTTTCTGAATTGGTGAGTCATCGCTAACGTATCGACGGATACCGATACTCGACTGGACCCCCGTGTATCCCGTACTGGTGGTTTAATTTCACTTCGGGACGTTGTTCCGCAACTCACTCCGGGGCCATTTCTCCGCGCTGGATGGGCGTGTAGGAGTTGGCTCACAAGTTAACGTTTCACTGGATGCTAGCGGACCTTTAAGCGACTCGCGGTACTTTTTTGACACTTTGAAGTCAATACCTTTATTTGAAGGTAGTTGGTGGTCGTATTGAGTCCTCTCTACGAACGGTAGTGGGGGTCCAGCCGTTTTTTTTGTTTTTGTTTTACCGTCGACGACCCCGTGGTTTAAATCCTGGACATGTCGAGCTTAAGTCGCCATCGGCACGGATCTCCGTCTCCTAGAGTTCCACCGATTCGGCAGAAACTGCAGTTCACGTGCAGCGACGAGGAGGACGAGCCCATCGAGGACGTCAACAACAGCACGGGCGGAGAGTCCGGCTTCACGGAGATGGACTCCCCGATGCCGGTGCGACGGGTCGCCAAAGACAAGCGGCTGGAGGGCGACAGTAGCCCGCTGAACCGGTCCGGCGGAGACGACGACGTGGAGCTGTGGGACGAGGAGAGTTTCGGGTCTCCGACTCACCTGCGATCGCCGAGAAGCGTTATCTTCGCCAACTGCTCGCTTTCGCCGCGCAAGGCTTCCCGGTTGTACGGAGGGTCACCGGAGCGGTCCTACGTGCATGCCGACGGGGAAGGATCCAGCTCCCCGATCCCGGACTGCCCCGACACACCGCCGCACAAAACGTTCAGAAAACTCAGACTGTTTGACACACCGCACACACCAAAGGTTCGTATTGGTTCATATGTGATGTGCACACATGTCGCATGTGTGTTTAGTAGAAAACACTGGCACATAAAAAAAAACTTTCTTTGCACGGGACAACTTTTGGCATCGACATCGAAGAGCACATATTTCGAGCCATTTCTTTAGTCTGCTTTAGGACTTTTGTTATATGTTTCAATTTGGGCAAGGAGGGAAAAGTAACCCTTTAAGCCTAGTTTATGCTTCTGCGTTTTCAGAGCGACGCAGACGCAAGACCTCCTTGCGTGCGTCGACCCATTTTTCTAGACTAGCGTCGAAAGTGGCGCACCCTCCCGCAGCGCACCAGGCTGCGATTGATTCGCTAACTACATCCTTTACGGAGTCTCACATTTCCGTTTCATAGCACAATACCACCATTATTAAAACAAAGAATGTTTATGAGAGAACGGATCAGATTGATGCGCTTTTGTCGGAAGAAATATGAAAGAAAGGGGATCTTGCGTGTCCTCTCGCCTCTCTGAAAACACAGAAGCATAAACTAGGCTTTAAACCCTTAACAAACCTACTGACCTACTTAATGCAGAAGGAACTCTTGCGCAATGTGTAATGTAAGTCGCTTTGGATAAAAGCGTCAGCTAAATGATCTGTAATGTAGTAGGACACGTGAGGCTGTATATTTGGACATGTTCGTTTTATTGTTTAGCACCAGATTTAAAACCTGCATATTCCAACACTCTACTTCGGAAGTCCAACTCCTTTTATTGTTTAGTAACCTGTTTTAATCAACTCACTTTCATAGAGATGGTCTGCAATTAAATCTTTCATGGTTATGTAATTAACAAAGCACTAAATCTGTCTTGTATCCTTTCTCGTCTTGCAGAGCTTGCTGTCCCGAGCCAGGGCCTCTGGCTTGGGATCCTCCAGCAGGAGAGTTGCCCTGTTCAAGAATGCAGAGCCTTCAAGAAAGTCATTCACAAACGAGGGCAGGAGACAGGAGACCCCCCTGGTCAACTTTAACCCCTTCACACCAGACTCCTTCCTCATCCTGTCTGCTACACAGCAGAGAAACAGGAAGCGAGCACACTGGAATGAGTGAGTTTATTATGTTATAAATACCTCTTGTCTTAATCTGTTGTACCTGAAACACCTGTAGTGTGTTGTGCGAGCAAAACAAGGACTAGACTGGAGACTTAAATCCAAGCAATATGACAAAGTTTATTTGCAACAAGAGTATTCTGTCCTGCAGTTTAACGTGCACAGACCTATTTCCGGCAGTTTAACAACAACATGAAAAAAGGCACTTAATACAAAATGCGCTCGAATTATATAGTCTCTAATGGCGCGTTTCCACCGAGCGGTACGGGTCGGGTCGGTACGGGTCGGGTCTGTTAACCATGATTTGGCGAGCGTTTCCACCGCAACAGTACCCTTACTTGATAGGCGTGGTATATGACGGAAAGTAGATTGACGTCATTCGATCGCGCGAAAACTGAAAGCTAACCGATGATACCCAAGAAGGTCTGCACCGCCTGGGTTGACCACGGTAAAGTAATGCTGCGAGGCGACGGTGTTGTAGTTTAAAAATGGCACCTCGTGTGTTGTCTTGTCCAGGGGTGTTTGTCGGATCGTAGTCAGACCGCACATAGTCGGACAAAGGTGTTTACATGAAACGGATAATTCGATTTCAGTCCGACTAAGCCAGTTATTCAAATCCATGTAACCACGCTGACTGTCTATTGTCTTTCAGCTCATGTGGAGAAGACATGGAGGCAAGTGACGGCGAGGGAGAGGATGAAGTTTTGCCCCCATCAAAGGTAATGAAATGTTCTTGTGATTTGCATAGATTGATCTGCATTTTACTGTTGGGAATATAATGTCAGTGGATTTATTTATCTTGGTGGGAAACTTGTTGCATTTTGTGCCAGTGTTTCCCACAGATCCAACGTCAATGTGTGGGGGCTGACGGCCCCTATCTATCGCTAGATAGAACTATACACAATTCACACTATATACAACTCCTATACTACTTGTTACAGCACACACAGTACCTCTAAAACTTTGTTTAAGAGTTGTAACTAATGACTTTTACTTGATCAACCTTAGATTAGAATATTACAAATAAATAGTTTGACAACAATTTCTTAAAATTACTTTTCCAAATGCTGTATACAATGCAGATAGATTTAGAACACATTTTTTAGAGGAAATCACTTTGATTTAAATGGCGTAAAAAAGTTGGTTGTGAAGTCGCTGAAATGTAAATGCTAATGCGTCCTCCTGCTCTCAGAGGATCACCATGATGGAGAGCAACATAATGTCCAGGTACGCCTCAGAGTTCCTCGAGCTGGAGAAGATTGGCTGCGGAGAGTTTGGTGCCGTGTTCAAGTGTGTGAAAAGACTCGATGGCTGCATCTACGCCATCAAGAGGTCAAAGAAACCTCTGGCCGGCTCAGTGGACGAGTATGTTTTTTCCAAAGACATGCATGCGTTTAAAATGAAGCATGTCAATATTACATGATGCACATCTAAAGTTGTTGCCTGGAAAACTTACTTTTTTCCCGCCATCACTTTTTTTTAAACCCCAGAAATGTCTCAGTTAAAACAGCCTGTTCCTCTCCTCCGCAGACAGAACGCCCTGCGGGAGGTGTACGCCCACGCTGTGCTGGGCCAGCATCCCCACGTGGTGCGCTACTACTCCGCCTGGGCCGAGGACGACCACATGCTCATTCAGAACGAGTACTGCAACGGTGGCACGCTCTCCGACGCCATCTCCGAGAATTACAGGCGGCTCAGTTACCTGAGCGAGCTGGAGCTGAAGGACCTGCTGCTGCAAGTCACACGGGGCCTTAAGTACATCCACTCCACGTCTCTGGTGCACATGGACATCAAGCCCAGTGAGTACCTGGGCACGCAAACGTTGTACTACCTGTGGTCCTGATAACATCTCGTATAGAATGATAGACTTGGATGTCGGCAGGAGAAATAACGCTGTATTTGTGTCTTTTATGTAGTATAAACGGCTCAGATACCAATGGAAATGTCATTTTTCATAGGTAACATCTTCATTTCACAAAAATCTGTATCCAGCTGTGATGAATGTGATGATGACGAAGGAGTGACCACCAGCGTCGTCTACAAAATAGGTACGCTGCTTTCACACGGCCTCCCTGGTTTGTTTTGCGGCCCCTTTGACTGATATTTTCTTTCGTTACTTGCCGTGAAGTCGGTCCCAGCTTTGATCTTTTCTCATTGTGTTCCTTCTCCAGGAGATCTGGGTCATGTGACACGGGTGAACAATCCGCAAGTGGAGGAAGGGGACAGCAGATACCTGGCCAATGAAATTTTACAAGAGGTTGGTCATCCTACTCTTAAGAACTGCCTTATTACTTTTAAATGGTGCTTCACAAAAGTGTTAAAGTTTCTCCCTGTTGGTCCGGTTTTCTTTCGTAGGACTACAGTAAGTTGACGAAGGCGGACATCTTTGCCCTGGCTCTGACTGTCGTCAACGCCTCGGGGGCGGAGCCTCTTCCCACCAACGGAGACAAATGGCACGAGATCCGAGAGGGAAAACTGCCTGCCATCCCCCAAGTGCTTTCTCCAGAGTTTCTCAGTCTTCTCAAGGTAACGGACAACCGTCTGTTCCACTTTTATCAGTTTATATCTTTGTGAAGACTACACATGTCCCCTGTCCTTTCTAAATTTGTTTTGAATGAAGGTCCTTGAAAAACTGATTTGGAGACAACTTAATGCTGTTTTGGGGGAGACCAACTTTTTATCTGTAGCTCATATCTGTTATAAAACTTAATTTTTAATTAAGAATTAAACTTGGAGCTCTGAGGTCCGTTGAACAAATGTCAAATGTATGAATTTAAATAACTTAAATTAATTTTTTTAACGTAATCCCTTTTCCTTGTAGCTGATGATTCATCCCGATCCAAGTGGACGGCCGTCCACGTCGGAACTCATCAAACACCCGGTGCTCCTCACGGCTTCCCGGATGAGCGCCATTCAGCTCCGAGTGGAGCTCAATGCGGAGAAGTTCAAGAATGCACTGCTCCAGAAGTAAGTATTCATGTTTAGACTAATGCATCCTGCTGTTTGACATTCATCTCTCCTCAAGTAGATAAGCAGTCTTTCAAGTCTCAATCCTAAACTGTGTCCCTTTTTTAAATTCTCCTCAGGGAGCTGAAGAAGGCCCAGCAGGCTCGAGCTGCCGCAGAGGAGAAGGTTTTGTCCACCGACCGGATCCTGACCCGCTCCACGGTGCAGTCGAATCCCAGAACCTCCAGACTCATCGGCAAGAAGATGAACCGGTCGGTCAGCCTCACCATCTACTAATACTTTAACCCTAACCCCCCGACAGGAAGTTAAACACAAAAGCTCATGGACCTATTTAAATGAAACACATTCAGATGGAATGAATCTTTTTAAGTTTTTCTTTTCCTAGTGAGCCGTGTCCTTCGTTGCGAAAGATATTGAACTTGAACCCTCCACAGACTCTTATTGCCAACATGGTTCAGCTTTTCTTTTTTTTTCAAATGAACTTTTACCTTTGGAAGATATAAACTGTCCTGTCAAAATGCTTTACCTTACTTTTTACACTGTCATTCCTTAAGTTTGCATGTACGTCAGGCTCCATCACCGTTTCTGTCCTTGCACTTCCCTTCAACAAAGCCTGTTGTCCGTGGACTGAAGCCGCAGTGAAGCTCTCTTCAGTGTGAATGTACTTGCCGTGTGCACCTTACTGCCTGGCAAATGCCTGATGAGGGGAACCAGAAGGTCTGAGAACTGACAAGTCTGTGTTTGTATGGAGCACTTTGAAGGTAGGAAGGGAGGAAGGAAGAAAAAGGGAAACCTGCTGCTATTGATGTTTGTGTGTATCGGGGTTTGACCCATTTCAGGTTGGCCAGTTCTAGAGGTGTTTGGCTCTTATTTTGATGTACCCCCTCCCCAGCCCCCAATTAATTTGTATTCTTCTGGTTGCATGGAGAACGGGTCATGACATTAAAGCCAAACTGCTCCGTTTTGTTTTTAAGTACCAAAACAAGCGAGCCGACTCATTATCTGTGCGGTTCGACGTGATCTGATGTCTGTTGATTCCGATGTACCCTAACCCTAACCCCTTACCTCCACACTCATCTTCTATAACTGGTTAGAAAAGTATTCCTCGTCTTTTTTGGTAATTTCTCCTTCTAAGCTCTAACACAACAACTTTTCTGTTGTTATCCTTGTATATATGTTCTTTTAAAAAATTATTTCCATCTACATCTTGTGTACTTTTATTGTGTGTAGGTTAACATTTTTTAAATTGGTCCGATTGCCGTCTTTTGAGATTTAATAAAAATGTCAAATATAAATGAGTGTATTAATGCATACAGAACAAGGTGGTGTGCGGCTATAAAAAACATTAAGAGTATACCGCAAAGAAATTTTCTTAATTCACGTAAAAAATGGTGGAAAATATGTAGTTTGTCATCTATTACATCAAACAAATGTATACAAATATGTATTATGACTTTCTGAGTATAGTTCAGCATGAAGTTGTGTGCGTCTTAAACATATTGTATAAATGTCATATAGAATAACTTACATGTCACAGTAAAGTACTTCATAAAAACGTAAATAAAGACATTGTGTATTATTCAATGTAATATATAGCATGACATCAAAAATAGATAGTAATTAAAGCTGCAAGCAGCAATGAACGGGCCTGAGCCTCCCTTTGCATGTCGGGGGGGGCAGTGGTCAGCTGGACAAAAAGACAAAAGAAAATCAGTGGCGGGTGTGGTATTTAAACCAATTGTGGCTTCCTAAACGGAATACCTCACCACTTGGCTACTTGCCTTGCTGTACAAAGACCTACAAAAAGTAAACAAATATGTAGGATTACCTCCATTCAGTTGAGGCAAAGATCGTGAGCTAATCTCAAGTATTAACTTGTGAAGTCTGCCAGAGTTTTTTTATTTTGCGAACATTGAATGTGTCTCTGCAGAACACCTGTATTTTAACATGTCCACTCATGTCGGTCACAGTCAACTTGACCAACTTGATTAATTTCTCTCAAGCCTACTCTGCTGATAGGGAAGAGATATCTGTACAGCTGGATCAAAGCTGATGCCTTCAGGTGAGTGCACCTAGATCCCAGCAGTTGCTGGGGCTGCTTCATGAATACGTGTAGGGGGCAGTATCAAGCCAAAATGCACTATGGAGGCGATTGAGCATTTTTGAGTCAAAACTCCACATCAGCTCTTTAATGTCATGACATAGGACACTGACAGAAGTTCTCAAAGAGTTTTTGAGTTTGCCAAGGCACCAAAGTATCTGCTTGAACTTTCATGCGAAGACAGTGTCGTCACAGCAACACGGTTTTTCAAAAACTCCCCAACATTCACTGTGAACTATCATCAAAGCCTTAAGGCTATTATACTAGGATTTGAGGTTGATCGGATGAAATGGCTAGGAGATACACATTCAAGTGTAAAAGTTTTGCATTTGGCTAAGCCAATTGGTGGCGCTAAGATTTTTTTGAAAATCACTGCATGGGAATACTTACATACGGCGTACAATAGCATCATGAATTAGAAATTTTGGCCAGAAATAAAAATGTTCCTTGGAGTTATAACATTTATGTTTTCAAGAAAATGGACGTGAGGTCACGCCCTGGTAGTTACACGAAAACTCTTGATTTTAATAACTATTTACCATTCAGTTGTAAGGATCCATTTTCCCGAAAATGAAGTGGATCGGGTTTAAACTCTCGGAGGAGTTTGTTCGTTTGTAAATCCAAAATACGATGGAAATCGCAAAAAACGAGCAAAAGTTTTTCAGTCTTTAACATTTAGGCCACACCCCATACAACCTGCATTGGTCCATAACTTCGAAACCCAATGAGATATCAACAAACAAATGGCGGAAAATCTAGTTAGGCGCATTTGCATACCATGATTGACTTTTTTGTAGAGTACCTGTGTGCAAAATTTCAGGTCAATCAGTAAAAGTAGGCAAAAATCTCCCAGAGGAAACGTCTCAACCCAAATGTTTATTATTTATTGTTTGAAGATTATTGCTTCAAACAACGTTTTAATTGAATCAAATTGAAATTGTAAAAGTTCCAAGTGACAGCTGCCATTCTGCATCGATCGAAGCTGGCAGAAGGGGCCAAGTGAGCGACCCCCCCCCCCCATTATAAAACACAGTCCTCATTGGCTGTCCAAACGAGTGAGCCGCTCCACTATGCGTTTCCGGTATTATTTGTGGTGGTTACGTAACAATGAAGGTTGCAGTCTGCAAGCAACTGAAAAAAAACAGTAAAGATGTTTCTGATTATTTGTTTTAAGTGCAGAGGAGAAATAAAACTTGTCCGCAATATTGACTGCTTCACTCCTATCACACTGCTCGTCTTTTTGTCGGTGTGCAATGGTGCGCTGCTGTTGGACGGTCGCACTTTGCTCGACGGCTTCTTGTGTTCCAGGATCTGCTGCAGCTGGTGGCTGGCGTACTCGGGCCCAGGTACTCTACGCCCAGGATGTCGGTGACCATGTAGGGGCGTAGCCAGCCCACCAGAGGGGTGCTGCCGGGGGTGTAGTGGGTCTGCCGGTGGTAGAAGAGCAGGCCGTCCACCGGCGGCCTGGAAATTCAGAATTAGGCCAATGGAGGCACAATGAGAAGCAAACAAAGCGTCTGTCAGTTTCCTGAAGAGTTGAATCATCGAACTCAACACAAAGTCACAAAAAGAAGGGAAGTGTCTTACGCTGAAGCTGTACTCGGCAGCCAGTGCTTTCTGAATCAGCTCTGCAGTCCGTGCTCTGCAGGCTCACAAACCGGAACTGTTGGACCAAACAAAGCCAGAGCGCCACCCTGTCTGTTCCAAACACAGTTTGTCTCCTTTAGGGCTGCAACAATGAATCGATAAAATCGATTTAAATCGATTATTAAAAAAAAAATTATATATATATATATATATATTAAAAGCGTTGGCAACGAATTTCATTATCGATTCGTTGTGTCGCGCGATTATTACGTCACTCAATGAGTTGCGGAGATGCGCGCGGAGCAAAAATAAAAATAAAGGCGCCGAGCCGACGTAGAGGAAAGAGCAGCCGGTAGTTGTTGTGAGTCACATGATGCAGGGAGAGACGACGTCTGTTCGACTAGTCGTCTAAGGTGTGCGAGCGTGGGGGGTCCCGGTCCACGTTGTCCCGTTTTGACGTAAGGGACGTAACAAGCCTCCTGTTTACTCGTCATCCAGCTGATCAAGCTAGCGTTAGCTCGCTAATAACAGCAGTAAAGCAGTTAGCAAGACTAAGACACGTTTTTATTTACTCGCCTCTTTTGGACCATTCATTTTTCAATGTGTTGTCTGATATTTTGTGCTTTGTCCCATATCGGTTATTGTTGACAAATATATTTGTGTGTGTTGTACTTTTTAATGCTGTCATATATGGTAGTCCAGTGCTCTTGCGCATATACTGTGGGTTATACGGTAGTTGATGTTATGCCTGTAAAGGGAGACACGTGGTGATCCATTAAATCAACTAAGAAGCCTCTAATGCATTTATTTACAAATGCCATTTTAAATTCATCTCATAGCACTTGGTTGTTTTTTAGCTGTATGCATTTACTTAACTTGCACTACAATGATGGTAATAATTTAATGAATATGCTTCAAGTGAACATGAGGGTGTGTTTGTGATTGTGGTTTGGAGAACTAGTTCTGACGAATTTGAGGTTCTGTTTTAGAATAAAGGGTTGGAAATTAAAGCTTTTTGATACCGTTTTTTTTTAAAATAAAGAAATAATCGACCGATTAATCGATTATTAAAATAATCGTTAGTTGCAGCCCTTGTCTACTTGTCTGCATTCCAAGTGTTTACTCTTTAAAGATTAAGCCTGATTTAGCTCCAGCTTGGCTGTACCACTCCAAACACACAGATTAAGAGGGGGAACTCAAAGTTCACTACATAATCAGATGGGTGCAATAAACACATTAGTGCCCAATTAAGTTAAAAGGCCGCAGTGGACGGTTGGCTTTAATTGTTCTTTGAGACAAGCTTCAGGTTCAGGTGTAGAAAGGCATAAAGAACAGGCAACACAACATGCAAAAACTCTAGATTTAAATCAAAAAGTTCCAGTATCCAGAGAGGAAGGACAGGATGGGGCATGAATGTAAAGAGCCTCTGTTCCCGTCACGTTTCGCTTGGCGATTTCCGATAGGCCGTCCGTCTCCTGAACTTTGGACTGGAGTCAGAATACATGAAACTCACTCTGTTGATGAGAAACAAACACTGTCAACTAAGAAAAAAAGGAAAGCTGCTGAGTGCGTACCGAGCCAATAAGATGGGCAACGTGGCAAAAAGAGAAAAGGGGGGAAAAAATGCACATTTGGGGGCCAGCTTGTGCTACATGAGCAATTAGCTGGAGCCGGCGGTCTTACCGGGCAGTCGTAGACCGGGTGGCCTTACCAGCACATGACATCCAGGATGTAGGCCACCCGGTACTACAGTACTACAGTACGTTCTGTCCACCTCGCTGTAAATGCAGTCCAGGATCAAGTAGTCTGCACGAGGAACACACAGGGAGGCGTCTACGGACCAATTATCAAGTATCTCAGGAATCAGGAAACATTTATTGCCATAATATGTCAGACATACAAGGAATTTTACTTGGTGGTTGGTGCGTAACAGCAGACAGTATGACAGTAGACGACAAGACAACAGTGCAAGAGGAATAAAATATAAGGCAATGGGTTAGTTTAAAATAAAGGAATGAAAGGTGATGGTGATGATGGAGCCCAGGAAACGGAAGGAATCCACAATAGTGACGGGGGAGTCACACAGGGTGATGGGGGAAGGTGGGGCTCTGTTCCTCCTGAAGTCCACAACCATCTCCACGGCCTTTAGAGCGTTGAGCTCCAGGTTGTTCTGGCTGCACCACGACACCAGATGGTCAGACTCCCACCTGTAGGCGGACTCGTCCCCACCAGAGATTAGTCCAATGAGGGTGGTGTTATCCGCTTCACGTGCTGTTTCCTGTCAGACAGGAAGTCTGTGATCCACTTGCAGGTGGAGTCGGGCACGTGCAGCTGGGAGAGTTTGTCCTGCAGCAGAGACGGGATGATGGTGTTGAAAGCAGAGCCGATGTCCACAAACAGGATCCTGGCGTAGGTTCCTGGGGAGTCCAGATGCTGGAGGATGTAGTGGAGGGCCATGTTGACAGCATCGTCCACAGACCTGTTGGCTCTGTAAGCAAACTGCAGGGGGTCCAGGAGGGGGTCAGTGAGGGACTTCAGGTGGGTCAGGACTAGCCGTTCAAAAGACTTCATGACTACAGAGGTCAGGGCGACAGACCTGTAGTCATTGAGTCCTGTGATCCTGGGCTTCTTGGGAACAGGGATGATGGTGGAGGCCTTGAAGCAGGCTGGTACGTGGCATGTCTCCAGGGAGGTGTTGAAGATGTCAGTGAACACCGGAGACAGCTGGTCAGCACAATGCTTCAGGGTGTGAGGGGAGACGGAGTCCGGGCCGGCTGAGTGGTGGAGCTGTGGGGGATGGGATCAGAACATTGTCCATCAATCTGGATCTCTCTCTATCTCAGTTACAAAATAAGGTGCGTTGAGTATTAAAATATAAACATGCACGCTTACGCTAGAATGAAATTACACTTGAACTATAAATGCATAGTAATAATGGGCGAAGGCCGCTTAAAGGCTGGAGTGCAGTAACATGGGGTCGACGTGGCACAGGGGTAGAGAGGGTGCACCGACAACCGCAAGGTTGGCGGTTTGAGCCCCGGCTGCCCCATGTCCCATGTCGAAGTGTCCCTGAGCAAGACACCTAACCCCTAATTGCTCCCCGGGAAAAAAAAGCCATGGATTAAAAATGTAGTGATATTCGCTTTGGATAAAAGCGTCAGCTAAATGACCTGTAATGTAATGTAATTTCAAGTCACAACACCAGCACACAAACATGTTGCAAAAAGATGCAGCACTATCTGGGTCAAATGCAGTTCAACTGGAACCACCTGTTCCCCATTTTAAGAAACAACAACCACTACGCCTACCACTCATATGCAAATCATCTTGCACACATCTTGCAAACATCCTGATATGAAGAACTCATGAACAAGGGGAGGCGTGTTGATCCAAGAGCCTGGAGGGATGGACATCCCTGTGCTCCAATGGGGCTCTCCGAGGGTTCTAAGCAGGAGCCGCCTCCATCTTAATAACCAATCAAAAATGCTCCTAGAGACTATAATTTGAGCGCATTTTGAATTAAGCGCCTTTTTTCATGTTGTTGTTAAACTGCCTGAAATAGGTCCGTGCACGTATAACTGCAGGACAAAATACTCTTGTAGCAAATAAACTTGCATATTGGCATATTGCTTTAATTTAAGTCTTCAGTCTAGTCCTTGTTTTGCTTGCACGACAGGTGCCAAGACTTTTACGGGCTCGTAGTATTAAAAATGACATTTATTTGGTTGTCCGAATCACTTTTAGCTTCTGAATGATGTATATAAGATTTTCTCAAAATAGCAAATCAAAACAGTTTCTTTTTGATGTAAGCTTAGTGGTGTAAAACCGCTTTGCTAAAATCTTGATTTTAATAAAATGAAGACAGTCCAGAGGTTTAATTTATACACATCGACCTAGAATTCTGTCAATTTGGTAATTGTGGAAAATCTCCTACCTCCTCCCCCTCTTCTGTATGTGTTAACTACATTGTAAAGTTCCTTCCTCTGCTATTCAGTACTCCTGCGCTCCACATACAGCCGGACCACCTACCTTTCCCCATGGCTGAGTTGTGTCGGTTCCCACCGGGCAGCAGGGAGGGGAAGCAGTTCACACAGTAGCCGCTTTTAGTGTACGCAGCAGTGGAGCCCTTCAGGAAAGAAAACCCAAAACAAATCAATAAATAGTATGATGAGGACATTAGTTCTGAATCATTGCCCAGCCCTATCAGGAATATAGCATTATGTATGATCACTTTTTGCAGAGACACTGAACATAAAGGTTTCACGCCACTTCATACTTACTGTTAACTTTGATTTTCGGGAGAATTACTCCGAACGGTTCTCCCACATTGTTCATTTTTAGTGCGAAGGCGCACAGAATGTGGCTCATTTTAAGATAACTAACCGCCGTACCGCTCCCCGCTACCAGGAAAGCAGGGTTATATCTACAAGCAATAAATGCATATTGATTCACAATGCACACATCCACCAGCCACTCTGACAGCATGATCTGAGGAGGAAGACAAACTTGTTGACATCAAAGCAACATTTCATCTGCATCAACACTATTCAAAGAATCCAACGACGATAAAGCCACATCTGCTCGATACGCTCACACTGTAGAAACTTGTACGCACTCTGCTGGCTCGGATGTTTTGTCCTTCACACAGGAATAATATCTTTGAGTAATGTGACATGAAACACTGACTTGGTTCGCAGAATGCTTTGGCAGCTTCCTCCTCTCAATCTCCATCTCCTCTTCCTCCGTGTGGTCGTCCTGCTCCCGCTCCCCGTCCTCCTTCTTCTCCATGTCCTCCTCTCCATCGCTGTCTGCCCCTGTCCAGTCCCCATGAGCCAGACGCTGCGCATGGTTGGCGTAGTTTAACCTTTTACTGATGACGAAAACACGATAACAACACAAAACATTAAAAGAAACACGCATTCCAATTGCAGCCAGACCACACGTAAGGGCAACTACACATCACAAAATCCTAAGAACACCAGCTCTGTCAAGTTGGGTGGAAAAGCTCTTTAGGGTACTTTATCATAAAAATCATAAAAAACTTTACCATTAAATAAAAATGGTATGCATCTTTTCTATTTGCAGCCTTCTGAGGTAAATATCAAAATAAACTTTTTCCACAGGCTAATAAATTTGAAAATAAAATAACAACAATGAATCAATCAACCATTCAGAAAACGTTAATTTGCTCAGTTTGCGACACACTGATCTAATCTGATGTGCACAAGCCAGATACCTGGCATCTATTCTTGGATGCTAGTTTATCAATGTCTGGGCTCAGGCTCTGAGCTGAGGAAATCCTCACAAAGGTGTTCTTCAGTCAGACGTCTATTGTGAGATGTTTTCGTCATCTTCATTAAGGAGAAAAGTTGCTCACATAGACAAGTGCTGCCGAACATGGAGAGCGATTGAGCAGCTCGGATGCGGAGCTGAGGCGTTGTGTCATGGATGAACTGTGGAAACTGCGGCGCCAACAGCATCATACTTTGACTTTCCAGCGTCTCGTTACACTGGAGCTCAATCAGCTCCATTTGGAGGCTGGTTGGTGCATTTTCCACATCAACTGCGAAGGGATTACTAAGCAGTTTTAAATCTACAATTCTGGACATCAAAGTCGGCAAATCGCCGGCTAAACTCAGCGCCGAGTACACTAGTACTTGTTCAGCAAACTGCGCACACGGCGGTAGAGATCTGCATTTTTATGGTTTGGCAGCAGGGAAAATGGCCAAGGTTTCCCTGCAGCATCTGATTCTCCCTCAGACACAGTTTAGTTTTAAAAGCTCTCACTGCTGCGTGCATGTCTGTGATGATGCAGATGCAGGTTCAGCGCATCGAGATGCTTGAGATGTCTCACAGAAACGTCTGCTCCCGGAGCTCTGATGTGTTCTTCCCTTTGCTTTGCAGAAACTGACATATGTCCTCACGCAGCTCGAAAAATCGGCAACACGGGGAGGCGGGGTGATTGGGGCCTTTCCCACCAAAGCACAGATCGCTGCTGACACAGAGGAGAGGGCGTGTCTGGGTCCTGTCCTGATTGGAAAACAACAGCAGTTCTGGTCCCCCTTTGGGAAAAGCATTGAAATTACTTTTGTAAAATTAGAATAATATACGCTTCATAATATAAATTAATACGAGTGGGCAGGGACAAGGATTTAACAATAATGACCCATATGTACGTACACATTATGGCTGCATCTAATAGTAATACCTGATTGATCAAAGTCCACGTTGATGTCTGCATATATAATCTGCAGATTCTTTAAGAGGTTCAAACAATCAAAGACTCACAGATGAATGAGCAATTCATTATGAAAATACGTTAGGCTTTAGTATGATACCATCATTATTACATTGTGACAGTAACATTAACTTGTGTAGACATAACCAGACACTAGAATAGGTAACATTTCGACGTGTAATATTGCTTCTGCAGCCTCGACAAGTGGCTGAGTTCTTGCTCCATTAGACATTAAACAACGTGACACAAGTTCCATTAAGGTGACGTATTGGCAAAACATGTGACGTTTCGGTTTTGGAGAGCGTGTAATCCGCATAACATAACAAACGTTATATTATTTGCACATGTAATGTTACCTATATCCACACGGAATTTTTAAAAAGCCCGGCGATTGCTATAGCTAACCGGGTAAGCTACGCTATTCATCTTAGCAGCTAGCAGTGTGCTAACCGTGCTAGTGTACTGTTAGCCGGGCCCAGTCGTTAGCAACACTCGTTGTGGAGCGTTACATTGCTGCTACATATGTCTACTGGCCACACGTATCGGACATAAAACGACAAACTATCTGACAGCGAGTTCAGTCAGACATCGGCAGTAATAAGGTCATTAAGCTAAATAGATACCTTGGACAGTGAGGGAGGCTGCTGCTAAGACGTCACGCTGTCATCTTTCCCACCAACGGACAGTTTTAGTTGGCCGACTAAATGCTGAAAACTAACCCGGAGTTTTAAACAGCAAACTTTTGCACTTCATTGACTTATTAAGTTGTCGAAGAGATATTCTGAATTTCTACTTAAATAAAAGAAAAACACTTGGGATTTACTAAAGTACTCCTCTTTTTATGTTGCTGGGTACTAATAACGTTACATCCCAATTCATTATTCGTTTTACTTTAGCATAAATTATCTGCAGTTACTCACTCATGTCACATACATGTTGTAGAGTAAAATGTCATACTGAAATGTTGTGTATTAGAAATATAAAGTATTTAGATATTTGAATAAACTACATGCAGTATGTAAGCATAGTAATGTAGCAGCCTGATTTTGGTGTTGCCGGCTGTGAGTGGTCCCTCCTGTTGGGGGCGACCCGGAGCCAGTTTCTCTTCCGCAAAGAATGTAAAGAAGCTGATGAGAAGGGGAAAAAAGAGAAAGACGAAGAACTTCCAATTGTCCGAGCCCAGCGTCATGGAAAGAGCTACTTTAAAGCCAAAGAAACAGCTGTTGACCAGCGGACTGGTCAGTTTTACCTTGTTTTTTTTGGTGGGTGGAGGTGAATTCAAAGTATCCACACAAGATTGCACAGAGATCCCACACCTCATCTCCCCGCTCCCCGCCACGCCGGACCTAAAGACCCCATCGGGGGACCACTTCTCGGCGAGGAGGCTGCAGTCCTGGTTCTGAGGATTAAAAACAACGACGGGGCCGGTTTTTGTTTGGTTTTTGGAGGAGCCCTTTTGGTGAAACCAGTTTTTGTGCTTGAACCTGTTTGTGATGTGAAAGGAAGAAGAGAGTATTTCTGTTGTGAGGAAGTTAATGTGTCATGAAGCATTGATAGCTTGACCTTATTGTTGGGCAGCAGGACAATAGACTGATGGCCTCAATGGGCTGAGGATGCAAGTAAGGACAACAGAATGTCTATTTTATACTTTTTGGGGCGTTGTGAATAGAAGGACTTTATGTAATTGTTTACATACTTTACATGTGCTGTTGCACACCAGATGCAACGCTTGCCATGTAATTTGAGATGAGTTTAAATATTACAGTGAGCTAGTGTCTGATGTTTCCAACACGGCACGTGAGACAGCAGCATCAACAGAAACTAAACACTGTGTGCATGTCGATTTCTGGTGTGCTTTAGGACCCACTTTAGTATCAACATGTCTGTGAAAGCCAAAGCAATCTACACTTTTCTGAGTGAAAACAAAGAGGAGATCAGCATCCAGGAGAAGGAGGAGCTGGTCATCTTCGACCAGAACTCGGTGGACGGCTGGTTTCAGGGGGAGAACAGCCGGGGGGAGAGGGGCCTCTTCCCCGCGTCCTACGTGGAGATTATTCGCACGCGCTCAAACTCGAACGTGACCGACTGCTCCATAAGCCCGGCGGGATCCCTGGGAAACGACTCCTCACATTTCCCCTCAACCCCGAACACCTCGCTGCACTTGCAGCAGAGTTACAACAACGACGACGATGACAACGACGACGACTGGGATGACTGGGACGATAGATCGACAGTGGTGGACGACGGGGACAGCCCCGGGGCCAACGGGCATGCCCATCAGAGCCCCCAGTCCAACAACCCAAATGTGCACTACCGGGCCAAGCCCCACATGGAGAGACAGGACAGCATCTCCAGCTCGAGGAAGGGCAGCATGGTGGGCAGGAACTTGAACAGGTTCTCCAGCTTTGTCCGCTCAGGGGTGGAGGCCTTTGTGCTGGGCGACGTGCCCATGATGGCAAAGATAGCGGAGTCGTACACCATCGAGATGGGCCCCCTGGGGCCCCTGTGGAAGGAGAGCCCACAGCCGTTCTCCTGCTCCGTTGAGAACCCCACGAAACAGACCAAGTTCAAGGGCATCAAGACGTACATCTCGTACCGGGTCACGCCGAGTCACACGAGGCATCCCGTCTACAGGCGCTACAAACATTTCGACTGGCTCTACAACCGCCTGCTGCACAAGTTCACTGTGATCTCCGTGCCTCACCTGCCCGAGAAGCAGGCCACGGGGCGATTTGAGGAAGACTTCATCGAAAAGCGCAAGAGGCGACTGGTACTGTGGATGAATCACATGACCAGCCACCCGGTCCTCTCCCAGTATGAGGGCCTCGAACACTTTCTGATGTGCGGCGATGACAAGCAGTGGAAGCTCGGCAAGAGGCGGGCGGAGAAGGACGAGATGGTGGGAGCCCATTTCATGTTGACCCTGCAGATCCCCACCGAGCACCAGGACCTCCAGGATGTGGAGGAGCGCATCGACACCTTCAAGTTCTTCGCCAAGAAGATGGACGACAGCGTGATGCAGCTCACGCACGTCGCCTCGGAGCTGGTGCGCAAGCACCTGGGCGGGTTCAGGAAGGAGTTCCAGCGGCTGGGAAATTCTTTCCAGTCCGTGAGCCAGGCGTTCATGCTTGATCCTCCCCAAAGTTCAGAGGCCCTCAACAAAGCCATCTCCCATACGGGCCGCACCTACGAGAACATTGGAGAGATGTTCGCAGAGCAACCCAAGTACGACCTCTTCCTCATGCTGGACAAGCTGTCGCTCTACCAAGGCCTGCTCGCCAACTTCCCCGACATCATTCATCTACAGAAAGGTAAAGCTCCACGAGTGGTTTCAATCTGTCCTCATGCATGCAAACTGTAAATGTCTCCATACCAAAAGATGCTAACGGAGATTACATCCATGAGCAGCGCAGATGTTGGGATGTAACCTGGGCCCTGATTTTCATTCTTGCAGCTTCATTCAGGTTTGAACTGAATGGCCAAAGACAGCTTCCTATTTTAAGTGATTAAACTACATATGCTCTTCATGTCACAGAAATTAGATTTATCAGACATATATACTGATTATTATTAGAGGCTAATGCTTGTTACTACTTTGTAACATAGAGGGTTGCAACTAACGATTATTTTGATAATTGATTAATTGGTCAATTATTTCTTCAATACCCCGCTAGCCCAATAACTTGGCCCTTGATGTGACTTGTGCTGAACCACATACAGCTGTGGCAACACACAGAGCTGAGATCAAGCTTTTCCCGGGGCACCGCTCCTCCTCTCCTCGACTCTGTTGCCTTTTTTCCTGCCTGACTGTGTCCTTCTGTGCTCCTGAGTTCTGGAGGACATCAGGAGATTTTTTAACTGTGATGTGAACTGCAGGAATGTTAACTGTAAATGTGCTCCAGGGCAGTAATCTGCATGTGGCTTTGGTAAAACGGATCCAGGGAGGAGAAGGCTTTGTCAGAAAGAAAAGTGGGGGTGTGCAGCTTGCATATCTTTCTCCTTCTTCAGTCAGTCAACATCAGTCCTGTTCTGGCTTCGACACAACTGATTTAAATTATCTTTTGGATGTTGCTCAATCTACAATCAGCCCCAGTTTCCATAATGATGGAATGTAAACCTGTTCTGTCACAGAGACTCCTGACAGGGCTCTGCTGTACTTTGAGCCTCTCCCAAAACTATCCCCAAATACCTTGATCTCATTTGAATACCCCCCAAAATGCACTGTTAAAGAATAAAACGGCCTGTGGTGTTTTAGTGTGAGAGGATGATTTGTACTTTATCATAAACCAAGGTGCTCTGGTGTCAACCTTTTTTTCAATATTAGATGTGTGAAAGGTATTTATGAGATTAAAGTAGAGATCACGTACTGTCCATTTTGTACTTTTTAATCTGACTCAAAACCATCTCATGAAGCTTTGACCAAACACAAAAGTTCCTAATAGCGTGAAACCGACACGGTATCAGCTGATCGGATCACATGATCCGTTGCCTCTGCATGCGAGCTGGATCTGACTCACCTATGTGCCCTGAATGACACGTCGAGGATAACAATTGAGGTCGCATCACACAAACAAGATGATTCAATTGAACTCGTAGTTGGGGGTCTGCTGGAAAAAAAGCCACACTGAATAATTTAGATTTAAAAGCACAAGGTCATAAATAACATAAAACCAACGGAAAGAAGTCATCAACAATGTGCTGCGATAATGAGCATGAGCATAGCTGTTCTCCATTTAGCTCGACTTGTTTTTTTGGCATTTGAATCTTATATAGAATGTGTGCCCCCCACCCCCCTTCTCTTTGGGCTGTAGCTGATACCGGGATAGAACCTCCTGTGATCCACACCAGAGCGCAGCATTATTCATTTTGACATTGAGCCGGCTCCTTTGGGACGCTGCCCAGACACCAGCCAGACTTCAAGTCTGGACAAGAGGTTAGTTGTCCTCCGTATGACAACACATTTGAAGGAAACTGCACCCCCCGCACCGCCAGCGGGTAACCAAAGGGTCCAGCGACGTGCGGTGGCTCAGCTCTCGTCCCCTTTGAGCATCAATTGTTTATGGTCTTGTCTGTGGTGACTATAGAGAGCAAACGTGTTCTCTCCCCTGTTTGCTACCTGAAAGGAGGCCGGGCTTCCACATGCCTGTGCATTCCTGTCTGTGCTGGCCCGCTGATTCACACGGAAGGAGATTACAGATGTCTCCAAGAACCGACGCCGTGGCTGAGTTCTCATGTTTAAGACTAGACACGTAGTCTGTAGCTGTTAAGCTGACTATTGTCATGTTCACAATGACAATAGTCTCGCTACGAATACAGCCTCCTCGTTAGTTTCAATGGGAACTCTGCCTTGCTGGTTCACTTGTGCAAAGTTGAACATTGCTCAACACACAGATCTTATAACAAGTCACCTTGGGAGGGAGTATTTACCCATCTGAGTGTCTAGCAATCTAGCTGTAGTCATGGTAACGCTGACAAGTTGCTCGTGGTTGGCACAGAGAGGACATCGTTGCATCACGAAAAAGCGCGCTATGAAAGCCGGGACAATGGGAAACCCTGTGTTTCATTTAAGCAAGGGTTTCATTTGGTATCAGGAGCCAAACATCATGAAGTCATTGCAGCACTTGTCAGTAGACAAACAGGGCAAACAATCACGAGGAAATCATCAATCTGTTCCCAAACAAAAGAGCACGATCTGTTTTTGGTTAAATCAAAGTCACAAGCAGAGAAGGGACAGAAAGCTTCTAGTGCCTGAGGGGACGTTACTACACAAAACAATTGTGATGTCGACCTTTTATTGTGCTTGATGACATAACAGCTATCCATATCCACCAGAATTATTTATTTCACTGTGATGATCAACTTTCTTTCTTACAAACGCAGAGCTAAAAGGAAATAATCTATTTTCAGATGAATGTGGCAAGATACGAGTGACTACTCATCATACACGAACAATGCACAGATTTTTACATTACATGTCATTTAGCTGACGCTTTTATCCAAAGCAACTTACAATAAGTCGGATACAAACTCAGAAGAACAAGAAACAAGACAATTAAATTTAGCCAATTTACAATTTGCTATAAATAAGAGCCTTTATATGAGTACAATTTAAGTGCTACAATTAGTTAGTGTTTTAGTCGAGGTAGAGTCTGAAGAGGTGTGTCTTTAGTCTGAAGATGTGAAGGCTCTCTGTGGTCCTGGTGTCTTCAGAGAGCTCGTTCCACCATTTTGGAGCAAGGACAGCAGAGTCCCTCTGCCAATTTCACCCCAAAACAATCTATTTGCGTGGCTTACCTTACGAGATAATATTTGAGGTTTGGGAAACTTAATGTTTGTGTACCGTCGAGGCTTTTAACATTAAACACTGACAGATTCTCACAGTCCTTTTGACCCTGCCGTGCACTCTGGAAGCTGTGTTCCTCTTCCAAAAGGCCCAGTTAAACCAGCAACTCAACCAAATAAATATACTTCTTTGTAATGGATGTAAATACATACTTCATTTCTCCTCCGCTTCAACAAGAGGAGCTTTTTACTATTTATGCTGTCTCGGCAGTGCCGACCTCCATGCGGACTCTTACCGTGGTCAACATAACCAGATTAAAAGGCAGCGTGATGTCAGCGTGCTACATATTTCACATAAATGAACGCAGGTGTTGTTTTCCTCCATCTGGTGTGGACGCGGGAAAATGTGTTCCAGGAAGACCCCATCTGTAATGTTGTTGCTTATTGAGATATCAACTCACACATCAGCAGGCACACACACACACACGCCGCCCTCTACTAATAGTTTGTGTTGTGTTGACGAGCCTCATTTGTCCTCAGCTGAAAAACGTTTCTGTTTACTCGTCTGTCCAACGTGAATAAAGTCCACTAATCTGTGTTTGTAACAATACACTGATGAGTCATTCCGATTATTCTGTTTTCGGTTTTCAGACCCTTCTTGCACCACGACGTAGCACGTTATCTTAACGCATGTTTGTGCCGAGACACATTGAGGTAGTTCTTCGTCTCACAGGATAAATGGGATGCGTTGTGCTTTCAGTGAAACTAGTAAACACACAAACACACTCTAGAAGATTGTGAAACAATCAGCAACAGTTGGAGATTGTGTAACTTAACCTTTGGAGAGAAAGCCTTTCTATTTGTAATAATGGAGTAATATCAGGTCATCCCAAAGTATTAGTTTTTCAACAGGTCATAATAGCTAATTTATCCGTAATGAAAACTAAAGAGTTCACAGCACAAACATTCACCACCGCAACCACAACAATGTTTATTATTGTATTACCCATGGCCACAGGTCAGAATGAGTTCAAATGATATACACTTTACTAAACCCTGCTGTGTGGAAATGGATATTAGAAGGATCTGGAGCTTTGTGGAGAAAAAAATAATATTTAAAATGAGCTCAGCTATATGGAAGGAAATGTCATCGACACTAAACACAGCACACAAACAACACACAGGGTAAATATATACATATCATCTAAGGAGGGACTTCAGTTCTCGATGTAGGTCAAAGGGCTAGTAGGGGCCGTGGGAACGAGGAATCCAGCAGGAACCCGAGTTCAGTTCCCCAGTTCTGGCCGTAATTAATCTTGAGTGCCGTTGTTCTTTTTCTCTCTGACACACACACACACACAGTTGACTGAAACTAGACATTGTCTTTGCAGGTCTTTAAACATTGTTGTATTCAAAAATGAAGAAACGCCGGACGGACAGAGGTCATCGCTGATCAAAAGGTTAAAATCAAATGTAATTAATAAAAGAGATGGTGTTGTGATAAAAAGAACATCTCAGCTGAGGAGCCGCTGGTCTCAGCCACCAACAGGCCCCAGGTCAGTCCTTTGACCATCCCTAGTGCCCGTCTGTAGCCTCCACCAGTGAACTCGAGAACAATGGTTCCTACAGGTATTTATAACAATGCTTAAAGGTGTGAAAGTCAGTGTCCACACCTCTGGGAGTGGTCTTCTGGTGAGTTCAATGTAACTCGGATTTCGAATGATCCTTAGTCAATATCAGTTGTTGTTCAAGTATTACATGCATGCATTCCAGTTGATTACATTACATCAAATACAATCATAACTGTACATTGGTGTTATTCTATTACAGTTGCAGAATTACAGTGGTTTTACAATATTGTCATTACTTTATTGATTACACAGTTTCAGAATCATGGCTGTATTCTGGTGTAAACTATATGCATTTTATTAATTTATGAACTGGGTCGTCAATTTTTTGTTTCTAATATCCTACAATCCATCCCTTTACACCAATTTTGGTGTAAAAACCAATCAGAGGGATCGGTTCA